AAGTGAGCAGCAGAAAGCACTGAAAGGCTAAAACCAATGCTCTGATCACATGCAGAGCGACTCTGACAGACCAGCTAGGCCAAACAGTCCAACTCAGTGTAAAAATTGTCCATAATAGCCGAGCTAAACCTCCCCAGGTGCAACTTTTTATTTGTTCCCTGGGAGCAGAGCCAGACCTTGTGAGCTTAAAACAGAGCTGACACCAGATAAGCGCGATGCTGCTATCAGGAATTCGGGGCACAGCACACAGTGCTTTCCTTCTCATTTCACGGCTCTTTGTGGAGTCATTATCAGCCAATTCCACCTTGGAGATGGCTCTCAGGAGAACTGAAAACACATCTTGTTAAAGCACTGAAGAGACTGAGATCATCCTTAAAAGAGAAGTTCAACAGTATGTTTCCTAAAAACTGCAGCCATTTAGCAAACCTGTAAGGGGATTAAAAGCTCAGGACTCAGGAAATATTATGGGTACGTGCTCGTTGCAGTATCTGACAGCATCTGGACTGAGATGCTTGAAAACAGCCAGTTTTCTTGTGACTCCACACAACTCTCCCCAGGCCCTAAGGATGGGAGGCACCCACTGAAGCCCTGCCAGTTTCAGAAGGTTTATTATTTCTGTGACTTCCCAAATCTCACAATTAACATAAATCTATTATTTTCAACCTGACAGCACTTCCAAAGAAACCTGTTGGCATTACAGTCCACTGTCCTGTAGCCTGTTTGTACCAGGAAGGAAATCCAGTGCATACAATCAGGCACTGGGTCTCTAGAGATTTAATTCTTCCAGAGTGACTCATTTTAGACTTGAAATTTCAGACAGCATGAGACATCTTCAAGATCTGGCATCAAGAACCAGTAAACACAGAAAAATAATGTTTCCATCTTTTAACTCTCACAAATAAAAGCTACTGAGAGACTTAGGTCAAGCCTTAATACTATTATACATCTAGATTTAACAACAGGTACATGCTCTAATAAAAATGATGCCCTTTTTTGTATCTGATTTTTTTTTTTTTAAGCTTCAGCCAAACTAGTTCTGGCAGAGTAGACAGTAAATCTGAGAAAGCAAAAAGTCAAACATGCAAAGATTCAAATGAGGACAAGAAACCCAATCCATATCATCTGGATGTCCACAGCTTCCCTTCCTTCTTGAAAAGGAAAGAAAAACAGTGCAATTTCACAGCCTCTCCCAAAATGCAGTAATATATCTGAGCTCCAACAGGTAGAAACCCCTCACAATGTCAAGAATTTTTCACAGAAGGAAATGATAAATCTTTAAATTAAGACTTAAACATGTGTGCGCACATGCACAGGAAAAGATGAAAGAGAAAAATTGAAAAAGGAAAAAATGGAAAGAATTAGAATTCTGGTAAGGAGAATACACCCACCAGCAAGGCACTGACTGCCAACACCACTGTCACTACTAGAAGTAACTAAAGGGAAGAGACAGAGGAGAAGAGGGAAAGTAAAGACAAAAGATGTGTCCACAACTTTGTACATAACACACACAAGATTTCACCCAAGGTGAGCAGTCAGGAGAGGGTCACTGAAAACCAGGGCAACCACATCCCTGCCAGCAACACACATCATCAGGAGTGAGAAACTTCACACTGAGCTGAACCTCACACTCCAGCCCTGTCCCAAGGCAGGACTTGCTCCTTCTCTGCAAAAAGAGGCAGCAGAACTACCAGGAGCTGTTCTTATTTTTCATAATAACTTTAGCTGAAAATCTCTACAGGCCTCAGAGATTCTGCAGAGCTACAAGTAACTGGCACTCTTTAGAGAAACACTAGGGAAAGGTTGTAAGTCAGGATTGATTCTGGGGTTTGTGCTAAAGGGAAATAACAAACATGCAGCAGAGGGGAATCCAGAGACACCAAAATGTCTGTTTTACTGCACTGCTGCAGCTCAGGTTTCCAGAAAGCACTGTGCACTCAGCCACTGCCAGTTACATTCATTTTTTACAACACTGTGTTTTATTGGGCGTGGGAAAGTGCTCGTAAAGGCAGATCACAGACAAAACATTATCTCTGTTCATGACCAGTGCTACCCTGGGAAACTAGGCACAGAAGATTCACCTCATGTCTGCACGTGACACTAAGTCAAAATCTTTCTGAGGTCATTTAATATCATTTTTCCTAAAGATTTTGTTCATACAAGACACTCCAGTAGGACCTCTGTGCTCCTCAACAACAAAGGATCGTAAATGCTTTTTTGAGACTTAGGGGATTGATAGGAAAGGACAGAAGCAGTGCCAAGACTTTCTGTTGTTGTTTTTCAGGTCGCTGCCTCTGGATTACAACAGGAAAATGCAGATTTCTAGGACACACGTTGGCAGCACAAACTTCACCACTCAGCAGCCCCAGCTGGCAGTGGCAGCAGCCCGAGCTGGGTGGGGAGCCCTGAGCCCTGTGTGACAGCTCAGCTTGGAGAGCTGTGCTCTGCACAGCAGCCTGACAACAGGCACAGGGCTGGCAGGAAATGTGGGCTATAAATACTCTCTCTCACACAGGCTGGAGTATTCCACTGAATGATGACAGAAACAATGTCATCCGTGCCTGGACAGCCCGGGGAGCACAGTCAGTGACCTTCCCTGGAGCACAGAGTCTGTTCTTTCAGCCCAGCTCCCTCCAGCCCCACCAAACGTTTCTCTTCTCCATTCTACTTCCTTGCTGTAAATAAAAGCCAGATCATTAAAGCCCCAAAGCACCTATGTACACAAACAAGTATTTCTTGCCAACAAAAGGCACCTTTGGACACGTCTCAAACCCATCAAGGAGCAGAGGAGCCATCCCAGCAGCTCCAGGATTCCTAGAGGGATTCCCAGCCCTCTGCTGCAGGTCTCTGGTCCCTGTGGTGAGCATCACCGCAGTCACATCCCACAGTGGTTTTTAAACAAACAAGTCTGTGCCTTTCACTACTAAATTCGAGTTTAAATCCTTTTACTGGCCATTCTGCTTCCACTGAGGACTTCACAGAATTACAGAATCGTTCAAGTTGGAAGAGAACTTAAAGCCCAGCTCATTCCACATGGCCAGGGACACCTTCCACTAGCCCAGTTCACTCCAAGCCCTGTCCCACCTGGCCCTGGACACTTCCAAGGACGGGGCAGCCACAACCAGAGGCCATCTGCCCTGACAAACACCTCTAATTACTTTTGACATAATAACAGAGCTCTGCAACAGAGATTGCCATACCTGTATTCTGTTCCATCTGGAAAATTTAACAGGGAAAAACATCAAAATAACTGGCCACTTGCCCAGGGTTCCCAGCCTCCCCCTAAGGTCCTGAAATCACAGGATTCCAGAGGTGTCACCCGCACACCGAGCTGTCCCCTCGGTGTCCCAGCGGGACAGGGGCAGGACCCCCTTCCCACAGCCGCCTAAAGCCGGCAGTGCCCCGTACCCAGCCGGTGACCCTCACCCCGCCCCGGGAGCTCTGCAGGGAGGCAGAGAGGAGCCTGCAGCCGGCGGGGGTGAAAGAGCGGCCGGCGGGGCACGGGGCGCCGAGAGGGAGGCCCACGGCCTGGCCTGCCCGGCGGCCGTCACGGCCCCGCCCGGCCCGCGGGCTCTCCCGGGCTTTGGGAGCGATCCCGGCAGGAGGGCAGCGCGAGGGGCCCGGGGAGCGCCACTCACGCTTGTACTCGGCCATGAGCCGCTTCAGCGCCGTCCCCGCCATGGCGCGGCCCCGCCGCCGCTTCCGGGTGCGCGGCCAGAGCGGCCGCGGCCGGGCGGGGTGCGGGCGGCGCTCTATCCTCCGGCTTCGCCTCTATGGTAGCGCCCGGTCCTCCCGCCGGCACCGGGCGGAGCGGGAACGCCCCGGGAGTTCCCTGTGGGAAACGACAGGGAGGGAGGACACAGGAGAATCCGCAAAATGCCCCACGGAGCGGGGGTAGCGCGGGGTTGTAGCTGCGCACAGCCTTCGCATTGCCCGGAGCAGCCCCCCCGCGGCCTTTCCTGCCGGGATGGCCACAGAGAGCGGGGGCAGCGGCCCGAGCCCCGCCGTGGATCGGCGGGATTCCCCACCGCAGCTCCCCAGCGCCGTGGAGAAGGGAATAAGGGCTTTTCCGGCGAGAGTTCAGCAAGCAGGAGCATAGCTAGCGCGAACAAATGGAAAGAGAAAAGGCTGGGTGTGATTCCATGGAGCAGCAGGACAGCCCGAGTTAAAATTCCTCTGGAACGGGCTTCATGGAGTCCAAACCACCACACAAATAATTAAACCTCAGCAAGGTTGGAGCGGCAGGACAGCAGTTTATTATTATTATTTTGAAGACACCTCAATGTCTCTCCTCACTAGCTCTTCTGCACAATTTGGTGACATTAAAGGCATTTCTCCCCCCCATCCCCCCCAATTTACCAAGTTTACCTACCAAAAAGAGGTATTAAAAAGAAACCTGAGGCCTCAGACTTCCAGTGCCCACAGAGAGAGAGTCAAAGTTAAGGGAGCATGGCAAAGAGACAGATGCTGTCCAGCCCTCAGCAAACAGCTAGAATTTCAGTGATGGGAGTTTTATAAGATTTCACAACCAAAAAAACCCCCACAGCCTACTCTATCACAAGCATTAGTTTTTTAGACCAGCTGCCCTGCTACCTCCAGTTCTGCAATAGTGCAGGACAAAAAAAAAAAAATCCCATTTCTGCACTAAAAAAGTATATTTTGGCCTACTTTATCATAATATGAAAAAACACCTGTAAACCTGAAGTACTTAAACCCTTTCCTAAGCATAGTGTTGTGTTCTAGCCCCAGTCAAGGGCATGATGCTGCCCCAGGGACTGACTGAATTTCTAACACCAGCTAAAAACTTAAAACCTGTATCTGTGGTCCTTCTTTCAGGCACATCTTAAAAGGAAGCTTTTACACTCACATTTGGCATGAAAATACATTGAACTATTTATATAATTTGAGTTAAAACAGAGGGACAAGACCAACCAGAGCCAGGAAAGAACACTCAGTGTCCCAAAACATAGATGAATGCTTAGGCCACAAATTTAAAGAAAGAAAAAAGAGAATACAAACAATACATTTTTACAAAAGGCTAACAACATAGAGACAACACACATTACTTAATCTGAATTTAAAATTGTGAAATTCAGACACAGCTCAATCCCTGCAGATACTACTTTGACTTGTGCACTCAGAATGTCAAAGACAACAAGCAACTTTGGTAAATATCCTGAGAAGTTTCAGAGAACCCTGTGTGACTGGCATGTTCATTTGTTCCTTAATAAAACAACAAATCCAAGGACAGATGAGAGAGTGAGGTGTGATGAGGATCCTCAAACTGTTCTCCCAAAGAGGCTGTGTCTGAGCACCCTCCACCTGTCTGCTGCTGGTACACTTCGATCGTGTCGTTGTGTTCCATCTCCAGCTGAGGGAGTAACACAGGAATTATTTTAACATTTTAAAAACACAGAAATTGTAAGTAATAGAGTAAAACTTGAGAAATACATGGTCAAAAAAGCACGTGGCTCTCTGCTCCTAATCAGCACTTCAGGAATAACTTCAATTAACTAAGACATGAAACACTTTCCATCAGTCACCCTGCACAAATTTGTTGGAACATGCTAAACTCACAGCAACTATTTCAGGATCATTTTGATTTCAAGCCCCTTTGATCACCTCTCAGACACCCGAATATCAGTGCAGCAATTTGCAGTAAGAGTGTTTTTCATACCTGTGCAGGTGTGTCTGCTTCTTTAATTGGCTGTCCATCAAACAGGAACATAATGTGCCTCATTGACAAGCCCTGCAAGTTCAAAGTTATAGATGAGAAACCACACCTGATTTCTGAACCCAAACTAAGTATTCACGGATTTACCGTCAGAACACATGGTAACAAAATTAACACTCAAAAGACAAGGGGGATGAGATAAAATAGATTTAGATTAGGAACTGGGAGGGAATTCTTCCCTGTGAGGGTGGTGAGGCCCTGGCACAGGGTGCCCGGAGAAGCTGTGGCTGCCCCTGGATCCCTGGAAGTGTCCAAGGCCAGGTTGGATGGGGCTTGGAGCAACCTGGGACAGTGGAAGGTGTCCTCATGGCAGGGCATGGGACTGGATGGGCTTTAAATTCCCTTCTAACCCCAAACCATTCTGTGATTCTCAGATTTAACCACCAGGACACTGAGCATATTTGTCTTGCTGTCTACACTGAGGAAGGTCAAATGCTGGTAACTTTACATGGCCCTTAAAACCTGAGTTACCACACTACTGTTCTGACAGCGTTTAATCACATGAGGAAGTCTTTATTCCCTGCATCAGGGATTGAGGACCTTGCTCTGCCCTCTAAAATCCATGTGATTCACACTTCTGTCACACACAGGAATGCTAGAACTCCTGTACCTCTCCAAAAACCCAGAGAGGTGTCAGGGTGCAGCAGGCACAGAGCAGGGCAGAGTGTGAAGTTTGAATAAGCAAAGAAAGGATCCTGCAAGTAACAGACAAGGGCAAACAAAACCTGACTCTGTTTCCAAAGCCATTCACGTGCCCACCCTCTGCTCTGCGTAAAACTGGGAGCTCCAGGCTCAGGAGCTGAGCTGTGGGGATGAATCCTTCAGTTCAGGATGCAGTGAGGAACAGCCTGTGACACCTGGGGAACACAGGTCACAACTGTGCAATAGGCAGCAGGAGACACGGGAAGGGAGAAGGAAACAACCCATGAGGAAGCTGTGGCATAGAAGAATTTATTTTGTGCCATTTCCCAAATAGAAAATGCACTCAAAGCTGACGAAGGTTTTCAAGATGACAGGACTGAGGGTTAGTGAATTGTCTAAAAGTCAGGATCACAACTGGAGGAATTTTTGTAACTCTGTCATGGGACATTAGGGAGCACCTGAAGAGGAAGAGGCAGCTTCCATTCACCCATAAGAGCTCCGCACCGAGAAGCTGCCAGCATCCCAGCTCCTCATTCTCCCACACACCTGGACACCCTCACTCTGCCCACAAGCATGTGCCACGATCCGGGCAGAGAAGCAGCGAGGGCTGCACCAGCAGGGGATGCTCGGCCGGAGCGGCAGAGCCCCTTGGGTCCGTGCGGGTCCCCCCGGAGCCCCGGGCCGTGCCCGCGCCTACCTGTCGGCAGCAGTACGCCTTCATGAGCTTGCTCAGCGGAGTGTGCCGCTTTATTCTGAACTGCACCACGGAGCCGTCCTGCCCGACAACTTTCAGGTCGATGTGCTCGATCTCCGTTTTCACGCATTCCTGGACGGAAAACTGCAGGATGCGGCGGGCTTCAGAGCTTTGCCGGGTGAGCCCCGCTCGGGCCGGACCCCCCCAGCCACATCCTGCGGCACCTCGGCCGGCCCCGCTCCTGCTCCCCCCGGCCGGGACACCTCGGCCGGCCCCGCTCCTGCTCCCCCCGGCCGGGACACCTCGGCCGGCTCCGCTCCTGCTCCCCCCGGCCGGGACACCTCGGCCGGCCCCGCTCCTGCTCCCCCCGGCTGGGACACCTCGGCGGCCTCGCGCCACAGGGGAGGCGGAGCCGCACCGAAGCCGTGCCCCGGGAGGAGGAGTGGCGGCCGCTCTTCGCTCCCTCCCAGCTGCCCGCTTGGATGGGGCTTGGATCCAGCCTCTCCCCTCCCGCCTTCCAGCCTCTCCGCTCCCGCCGGCTCCTCCCGCTCCTCTCCCCGCCTCACCCGGAGCTCCTCCTTCGCCATGGCGGGGGGGGGAATAGCAGGGGTTCGCGTGGGGGGCGTGGCCAACGGCCAAGGGGCGTGGCGGGGCCGCGTGCAGGCGCGTTCCCTCTGAGCCGCACGGGGGCGCTGTGCTCCGGCGCGGGGAAAGGCGTGAGGGGAGCGCCCGGGACACCCCCGGGACACCCCGAAACAGCCCCTGGACACCCCCGGGATGCCCCGAAACAGCCCCTGGACACCCCCGGGATGCCCCGAAACAGCCCCTGGACACCCCCGGGATGCCCCGAAACAGCCCCTGGACACCCCCGGGACCGCACGTTCCCGGTCGCACGGCAGCTCCTGAGTGCGGGAAAATAGGGGACGAGAAGCCTTCCATCAAGAGTCCAGTGTCTCCAGCCCAGTCCAGCCCAATGCTGGGGTGTTTGGATCCCCCTTAAGCCGAGGAGAAGCGAGTTTACCTCGATTCATAACTGAGGAAAGAATTAGATTCTAAACATACCCGAAAGTGAGATTAAAACACAAACGAGGTCAAATGTTGAGATCCAAACAGATATTTCAACCTTTATTTTTTCATAAAAGAAAGAAGGTAGAAAAGTGGGGATAGCCAAGAATAATTACTTGAAGCACAGGGAAGGTGTTACCACCACCATGGGTCCAGCGCTGCCTCACAGAGCGCGATGGGCCTTTCACAGCCGAATTCCATCCGACAGCTGCCAGTGGAGGAGCAGAGCCAGGCAGCTGGACCAGCACTGTGGGAGCAGGCAGCAAAGACTCCCACACTTTGTAGATTTAGAAGCTGCAGCTTCTGTGGCACTTGCTTATAGAGGGTTTTGAAAGTGGCAATGTCATGTCCACCTCAAGGCAACAGCACGCCCGTGGTCAGATTCATGTTTGCTCCCTTAAAGTTCATTAGCTGGTCGTTGGAATTCAGCCGAGGTTTTCCTCATGTATCAAAAAGAAAAACATTTTTCTTCATTTTACTCGTTCACTATACAGGGCCAGGTGAGAGCAGGGCGGGAAGTTGGTGCTGGCAGAGCTGCCCCTGCACAGAGGGGCAGAAAGGGCTCTGTGCTTCTTCAGAGGAAACCCCCTAAATATGAGATCCATCCTGCCTGAGTCCACTTCTCCCACAGGCAGTGCCCTTGAGCCGGTGGCCAAGGCTACCTCCTCCAGCCCTAGGGGTGTTGTGAGGCCAGGAGAGAGGAGGAGGTTCTGCCCCAAACCTCCATCTCAGCTTCTGTCCCCACCCTGGCCGTGAGGAAAGCAGATACTGGTCCCTTCGGAATATGCTCAGAGTCTGAAAGGATTTTCCCTTTTCCATTCACTTTCCCGGCTGTGCCCCCTCAGAGATGAGGAAAGTGATACAGAAACAAGCAGGATTGGCCCCTGTTGGGGTCTTAGGAGCTGGATATTTTTGTTTTTCTCTAAAGGAATTTTCCCCAATACGTGTTGCTAGGATGCAGTAATGACTGGATATTTTAGAGAGAAGAAAGAAGTTGTCAGCTCAGGGGAGGGTTACAGCTGGCTACTCTCTCTTTACCTGATGTTTCCCCTGGAGGGCAGAGATACCTCGAGATTTGGACTGGGAAAGCAGCACTGGGTCCAGCCTCTGTCTTTAGTGCTCTGGACATTCGGAGGGGAGAAAGGCTGCAGTCGCTGTGTGGAGAATTCGTCACCACTGCAGGGCTCTGCCTTCTGCTGCCTTTCTTTTACCGTGAGTGGAGCTCTGCTCGTAAGAGCGGGTGTTGCACTGGGACCTTATTAACACCCTACCTCACTAAAAGAGTGACTTTTTACCATCTGCTCGGCTGCCTCAGAGGGAAAACCTGGGATCCCGAGCCCGCCTTTCCCTGCCCTGCCCTGCCGCTGCCCCACCCCCGCTGCTTCTGCGGCACTGCTCCGAGCATTCCCTGCACTATAACTCTTCGTTCCCTGCCTGCCGAGACTTCTCGTGGTTCCTGCTACAGCTGTGCAGTTTGATACATCTCATTTACCACCCGGGATTGTAAAGCAAGCCTTTCTTCCATGCCTGCCCGTCCCGGTAAAGCCACCATTACGGCGTGGTCCCCGAGCTCGCAGCGGAGCTCCCCCTGCAGCCGCGGGGGAATCACCGCACCTGCCCTGCCCGCCGGGAGCCAGCAGCGCCCCTGCCGGCTGTGCCCGGAACTGCAGCGCAGGGGAAAGGGCCTGCAGCCCAGAGAAGGCTGACCCTGGGTTTGTGGTTCTGTTTCTTGCTGCTGCCGTAGTTATTGGTGTGTGTTTGCCTTGTTATGCATTCGTGGCAGTCACCCTAATCATTGTGTGTACTTGCTTGTAGTAGCTGTTGCAGTTGTTGCAGCACTTTGTGCTGAAAAATTAACTATTGAGATTGTCTAAAAGTCTCAAGAAAAGGAGAGACTTGAAAAATAAGACAGAGTCTAGAAATTTTCAGTTCTCCTGAAGCTGTTGAATAAAGCTTTAGGACTAACTAGAAAAAAGATAAAAGGATGTAAAGTTATGCACAAAGGAGGATAAATGTAGCTGGAACCAGTGGAGAAACAGATAGAGGACTACAGAGGGTTTTTTGCAAGTTACGTAACAAAAACCAACAGTGCATGCCCAAAGAAAAAGTTCAAAGTAAGGTCACCAGTAATATTGAAGCCTTGAGTGAATATGACCACCAGGCACCCCTTTAGATGACCTCCAGGACCAAAAAAGGAATTCTAGTAAAAGGCAAATGCATGCAAATTAGTTCTAGGAAAGTGGTGTTTGTGTATTAGCTAGGAGGTACATTGTAATGAATATGTATGATCAGCATGGAATAAATACCCTGTTGTGAACTCTCACCACACACATCACATTAAAGGAGATACTCTTCCATGTGTCCAACGCGGATAAAGAATGCCTGCTTTGCAATGCTTCAAACGGAATAAGAAAAACTTTATTTCACAGCTAATATCCTAATGTCCTAATGTTCTAATGTCCTAATGTTCTAATGTTCTAATGTCCTAATGTCCTAATGTCCTAATATCCTAATAACAATATCCTACTCTCTCCCCAAGTTTCAACAACTATAGCTTTGCCTTCAACAGCTCCCACTCCCCCAGTCTTGAAGTAATGTTCAAACTAAGAAGAAACTAGACGAGGCCCTTCTCTGCATCCCGGTTTTCAGTTGAGACGGGCCGTGGAGGATCCACATCAAATCAGATAACACGGGGGCGGTGCTGGTTGTCCCCTGCAGCCATTGCTTCAATTCCTCTCGGTGGCCGCTGTCCCAGCCCATTTCTTCGCAGGTCATCCAGCTCTCTCCGGGGACGCTGGCGGGGCACAGGGCTCGGTGGCCTGTCCCCATCAGCAAGTCTTCGGCGCCGGCCACCTCCAGGAGCCGCATCCTCCTGCGCCTCCTGCTGCTGCCGCTGGCGCCACCGCGCCACGAAGGGATGGAGGCGGCGGCGGGGGCGACGCGGGGCCACCGGGGCCTGGTTCTCATGGCCCTGCAGCAGGCGGATGCTCCCGATGGGCCCTTGGCAGGTCGGGCAGGTGGCGGCGGCGTCGGGGGCAGCCTGGGGCTGGATGCAGGCGTGGCAGAACACGTGTCCGCAGGGCTCCACGGCAGCAGCGGGGCTTTGCAGGAAATCCACGCAGATGCGGCAGACCCGCACGACTCGTGGCGCTGGTGCCTCCTCCCTGACCTCGGCCATTGCTGCTCCCGGACTTGACTGCTCTCAGCCGCTGGCAGGACTCGAAGGCTTGGCTTCCACTTGTGGAACTCAGTGGTTCGTCAACCTCTCGTGGGACTCAGAGGCTCCTCAGTCACTGGCAGTACTTGTAGACTCCTCAGTCACTGGCAGCACTCAGGGTCCTTGGTCACTGACAGCACTCAGAGGTTCCTCAGTCACTGGAAGGACTCGGAGGTTCCTCTTCACTCACTGGCAGAACTCAGAGGGTTGTCTTCACTCACTGGAGTAACACAGAGGTTCCTCAGTCACTTGCAGGACTCAGAGGTTTCTCACTCACTGGAGTAACTCAGAGGTTCCTCGGTCACTGGAAGGACTCAGAGGCTCCTCACTCACTGGAGTACCTCGGAGGTTCCTCGGTCACTAGCAGGACTCGGAGGCTCCTTGGTCCCTGGCAGCACTTGGAGGTTCCTCCTCAGTCACTGGCAGGACTTGGAGGTTCCACACTCACTGGCAGGACTTGGAGGCTCCTCAGTCACTGGCAGCACTCACGTTCCTCGGTCACTGACAGCACTCGGAAGATCCTCAGACACTGGTAGCACAGAGGCTCCTCAGATGCTGGCAGCACTCGGAAGCTCCTCAGCTGCTATGGGACAGAACCTGAGTGCTCTGGCACTACCCAACGCTGGTGGTTATAGTTACGCAAGTGGTGTCATAATGATCATGAGTGGTGACATCACAGGGCTCCAAGGGACACACCCAGGAGCTCCCCCATCCACAGATCCTGTGGCACATAACCCACCTGGCAGTGGGCCGCACACCTCAGTGTTTGCCCAGATCCCTTCCAGGCACTCCCTGCCAGTCATACCCACCAGGACCTGCAGAGAACCTGCTCTGCAGAGCTGCTTTCCATGGCGTGTGCTGGGGCTGCACCTCCTCAGCAGGAGCACTCTGCTCGGCCCTTGGTTGAACTTCAGGAGGTTCCATCAGCCCATTTCTCCAGCTTGTTGAGGTCCTTGTGGGTGCAGAGTCACCTGCTGGTGTCTCAGCAGCTCTTCCCACTGGAGGAAATTCAGCAAACTTGCTGAGGGTGCTCTGGGCCCCATTATTCAGGCCACTATCAAGAAGGAAGAGGACCGGTCCCCGTACTGATGCTGGGCTACACTGCTGATGATCAGCCTCTATATCAGCTTCATGCTGCTGAACAACACCCTCTACTTAAAAACCAGTATCAACAATTAAAATCACCACCTCATAGGGCAGAACTTATTTGCATAGTTCTGCCTCCCCCAAGCCTCCTGCTTTCTCCAAACTCATGAGAAATGTCTGCCTGATCATTTATCAGCCCCAGTGAGCATTTCCCCCTTGAAATACAGCAGCTCTGGAATACAGCATAGGATCTGTTGAATTGTTTGCTTCTTCCACCACTTCTCCTGAAATATACCTGGTATTTTCCTGAAAATACCATTGTAGCACTACACACTGACACCACCCCTTGGAATCATTTTGTGACCTTTGCAAAGAGGCTGAGGTTGTTTGGCAGGGAGTCTCCAGCACCAGGCACTTCCAGGGCCCAGCTGCTGCTGCCACCATAGCCCTGCTGTGAATGGAATGGAAGAGGCTGTGGTGACAGCAGGCCACCCCAGCACAGTTATCCACCTGCAGCTGGGCAGCCTGTGGTCACAGCTCAGTCTGTCCCTGGGATTTCACCTCTCAGACTGTTGGCTGTTTGTCCCACCTTTCCTATCACTTGGTTGGAATTGGCCTAGTGCCAGTTTTTTGTGGCCTTTATGTGCAGGGCTGTAGAACTCTCCTTCGGCTCAAAGCCAAGCTCCCTGTTACATCTCATTAACCCCTTCTTTCCAAGTTCCCTTGTGCATCCTCCTAGTACCCACTGCAGGTGGTGGGGTACTGTCTCACTCCTCAGCTGTGGTGTCCCCATCACTATCTGCTTCCCCATCCCAGTCAGGACAGCTTTCCATCGTGGCAGCCTTGCAAAGGATCAGATAATCCTCATGCAATGTCTTTTTAGCTGCCGGGCTCCACTCTCAGTTACACTGCAGATGCTTCTTCCCAGACCTGAGCAGGTACCTTGGCCACTCAAGAGCACAGCTTCACTTCCCCACCATGGTCCAGCCAAGCCAAAGGGTTCACCAGCTTTTCAGAGCACCAGCCACATGATCCCTGCACACAGCAACCTTCACAGGAGGAATTAGAAACAGCAGGAGTAGCTCCAGCCCAGGCTATGGGAGGCAGCCCCTGGGATGAGGATGCTGGAGCCCAGGATGAGCTCAGGATGAGAGCAGAGGACACAGTGCCTCTGTCCAGGGATACTTGGTGCTGCCCTAGCAGCATGGCATGGCCTCTGCTTGTCCCCAGGGCATGGCCACATCCCATCCACCATCCATCCTGGCTCCCAGCAGGTCTCTCTGCTGCCCTGGCTCAGCAGAGGAGGACAGAGCCAGTCACAAGTGGGGTTTCAGGAAGAGGAACTTGCTTGCAGTTCCCCAATAGGTTTGGAGACATCACTCCTTAGCTCTAGGAGCAGGGCCCGTGGGAGCATGCAGGGTACCCAGTATGAATTTACTGGTCCCAGTTCCAGGGCAGGAGGGGGACTGGAGCCTGGTGCAGCCCAGCAGGGGAAAGGCAGCTCAAAAGGCTTTAGCACCAGCTGTTCCTGGACCTTCCTGGCCCTCAAACAAAGCCCCCCTGTACCTTTGGTAGGCAGAGGTGCCACGGGCCCTTTGGGCCAGCACATGAAGGACCCCTATCAGCACTTTCCCTTCTCTTTACTGGGCTCCACAGTTCATCCTCCATGCACAGGGGGATTCCAGCCAAAGCGGGATTTTTTTGAATCACCCCCTCCCTGCCGTGCACACCCGGACACGCCGCTCTCGGCACCGCCCTCGGCTCCTGCCTGGCAGCACCAGCGCGCAGCCCCTGCCCGGAGAGAAGGTGGGAGAGCAGCCACCACGAGAGCTCGGCAGAGTCAGTCCCTTTGTTCCTCCCGCCCGAGCCTCTTCTGGCAGTAGCCAGTGACAATCGGGATTCAAAGTCACCCGCAAGTCCTGCCCTTGTGGAGCCCTGGCAGCAGCTCCCCGAGCTCAGCTGGAGCAGCTGTGCTGGGCTCCACAAGCCCGGCCATGCAGAGGGAGAGTTTTATCCCAGCCCATGGGAGTCTCCCCGGCAGGAGGCCACGGGCAGCTTTCCCCAGCCCAGGCTCTCCCGGCCCTGCCCAGCCTGCACACGGGGCTGCGGCTGCTGCATGGCCAGTCCCGGGCAGGCTCCAGAGCAGGCAGCTCCATCCCCCTTCCCACCCCAGCCCCTTACACTGCTCGGGATGCAGTCTGAGCCCCCAGGCCACCACGTACACAGGGCCTCTCTCCTAGAGATGCCAGGGGACAAAAGGCCCAACTCTTGCCAGAAGAGCCAGCTCCTTCCTTGGGGAGCAGCCTTACTTCCATCCCAAGCTCTTCCTAACACCTGAACACCTCTGGGAACAGACTCTTCCTTTCAAGCCCAGCAAGAGCCCGAGGCAGCCTTGCTTCTGCCTCCCCCAGCTACCCACAATGAGTCAGAGCCACATAGCAGTGACAACTCCATCAGCCACGACTCCCAACCTGTGCCTGCTGTGGAAGGAGAATTAAACTCTTTCAGACCAGAACAGTAATTGAATCAGTTTAATATACAGTCAGCATATTGTAAATGCACTTGAAACTTACAGTATTGCTAACAGATGTGGCCATTGAGCCCAAGACCACCTTTCTAGAAAGGCACAGAGAGGTAGGAGAGTTGGGGCATTTCCCCAGATTAGTTGCAAGTGAGAAGGTGCACGTAAGACCTTCCTCCTGGAAGCACCAGATCACCAGAAACTTGTGCTCTTTGAGAGGACTGCTAATGTGCTGGGATAAGTGCATGCACCTGGAGTGACAGCCAAAGCCTCCTGCTAACCCTTATGTCAGGAAACTCTTGCTGGCTTTTGCATATACTAAAAGGAAAAAAAAAAAGGGGGGGGTGGAGAAGAGCAGAAGAGGCTAGCTCTGTGTGTATGAAGTGTTCTTGGTGAGGCAGGAGTGAGGGAGATGTGTGACACTGCTTTTGCCCTTGGCTGGGACAAGGACTGTTATGTGCATTGCTTTGGACACCACAACCACCCAGGGGTGAGTGAGAAGAAATGCTCCATCCTCCAGTATTGTCACCACAGTTTCTTGCACCAGCAGGGCAAGAGCAAAGTCTGGCCAGACCAAGCACCTGGAGTGGGGACAATGGTGTCACCAAGGATTTGGGTTATCTTCTGTGGCAGTTGAAGTGGCACCATGGTGGTGGGGGGAAGCCTGGAGACTTTTGGCTCTGCAGAAGGCACTCTTCACCAGGATGGGTGGGTGTGTCTGGAGATGCTAATTCTCAAATTTTGCGTAAGGGTTCTCTTCCTTGAACAGGCCTAGAAGAGACAAGAGATTTTTTCAGACAGCAGCTCCCACAGTGGTCACAGCCAGCAAGACAACCAGTCCTGGGAAACAACTCTGTCATTTAAGCATCTCAAGCCTCCAGCTGCAGTTCTCCCAAAACACCGGCTCTTACTTGAGCAGTGCCCACACTCAGCACTGTTTCACTCTCCCCTTCTGCACAAGAGGAGACATCCACTGAGAAGCTTGACCTGATGGCAAACTCCTCTCCCAGGCAGTCCATGTACAGTCCAGGTAAAGCAGCCTGCCTAATCTTCCAGAGCTCTCCCTCTACACAGCCCTTCTGTCAGACTGGATTACAAGCAAAGAGCCCAGACCCAAATTCAATTAAAACTGTTCTTAGACTTGCTTCCCTGCTCCTGCATCGAGACTGGGCAACAGCAAGGCAGGGTATGGGGCTGACTTTGGGCTAGCAACAAGCCATGTGCCATGCTGTTTGATGCCTTCCCAGCTCAACAGTTTTGAAGAAGAGCCACAAAGGACAAGATTGCAAACTCTGGGGTCAGGCTGCAGCAAGACAGCCCTGACATGGCAAGACAGGCCCAGAGCACAGCTCTTACACAGGCAGATGCTTCCCATACCAAGAGCTCCTTCAGGCACAGCTTTGCCTGCTCTTTCTTTCCTAAAGGAGCCAGCCCATCCAGAGGCCCGGGAATCTCCTGCCTAACCTGGACCTGCAGTGGGCAGCAGCTGCAGGCAGAGGAAAGGTCTCTAGTTTTCCCTACAGCCCCCCCAAAGCCAGAGACCACCAAGTGCAGCATGCATGAGCCCAAGTGCTCCACAGCCAGACACTGGTAGAGCCCCCAGCAGCTCCAGTGGGCAGGCTGGAGGGACCCTCCCCTGCACAGAGCAACTCCCAAGTTGATGTTCCCCTCAGGTAGGTCCAGATTTGGCCAGGTCCATGGGACTCACCTGAGGGACAGTTCAGCCCCAGGAGGGAGGCTGTGCACTCCCATCCTCAGGGGACTGAGACACCACTGCTGGCACAGAGGACCAGAGGGATTGGGGTGGAATTGGTGCCTGCTCTGTGCTCCTGCAGCTGTGGGCATTCTGATCCCTACCTGGCCCCACACCCCAGGCTGCTGGCCCACCACAGGACTACTGGAGGGTTGTGTCTGAAGGGTACAGGATTATAATGGTGCTGTGCCTGCCAGCTTCTGCTTCTACCTTCTAGTCAAGCTCCATCAGCTTCTCCCACATGGTAAGCTTGGAGGACACATTCTGGGGAACATAATACACTTCCTCTTCCCTGCCCAGGAAAAATAGCCCTTGTATGGGCTCACATACCATGACCCCAGCATCTCTACACTTACTCTGAGCCAAGAGAAGCAGGGACCATGTTTTCCCTGCTGGCCAGGTCTCATCTACAGCTGTAACCATGGCAAGGAGCACACTTACAGAAACTGCTTCATCTAAGGCTTAGTTTGAAACACTCATGTCAGCACTGTACCGTATTTTCTTCGGATTTCATCATGCCGTGATTTCATCTCTGCTCTCCTGCGAGAGGCAAACAAAAAAGCCATGAGTCAGTAACTGGGGATACAAAAGGGAACAAGAAGAGCCAGAGCTCCTTGCTTATTCCCAAACAAGGGAGCTCCAGGCTGGCAGGTTTGCTCAGCCTGTCACTTCAGGGAGGCTCTGGGGACCACCAGAGCCCACACATCAGCAGCCCTCGGGGAGCTGCATACACAATACTTGTGATGCTACATCCACGAGTCACCCCGGCATGACACTCCTAATGAGGCTTGTGTGTGAGCTAGGGCTGAAGCAGCCGCTGACTGCATGTGTTGAGCCCCATGTGCCTCCTGGCATCACATTTGATGGCACAGACAGCAGCCAAATCATTTTGCAGCCTCAGGGCCTGTGGTACAAACTCACCTCTCCTCCTGCCGCACCCGCCTCTTCTCCCGCTCCCTGGCTGCTCTCTCGTCATCCTTGTCTGGCCTGGTAGACAGAAAAACCCCTTAGTGCACTCAGCACTCAGTTCTGCAGCAGCACATGGCTGCATCTGAGCTGCTCCACAATCAGGGCACCCCCCCCATACTTACTTTTTGCTCTTTTTCTTACAACAGCAGCAGCAGCAGCAGACCCCCAACATGATCAGAAGTGTTCCTCCCACCACGGACATTGCAATGATCAGGGCTTCAAAGTTTACTGAAGGATTTGACAAAAACGTGTTTAGCACATACAGACACAGCTTCCTGGAATTACAATATAGGATCACAGGATCATTAATGTTGGGAAAGCACTCAAGGATCATCAAGTCCAACCGTTCCCCCAGCACTGCCAGGTCTTCCAGTAAACCATGTCCCCAGATGCAACAGCTCTGTGTTTTTTGAATGCTTCCAGGGATGGTGAGTCTACCACTGCCCTGGGCAGCCTGTTCCACTGTCTGACCACCCTCTGAGTGAAGAATCTTTTTCTTACTATCCAACCTAAACCTCCTCTGGTACAATTTGAGGCCATTTCCTCTTATCCTACAGCCACTTTCTCTTATCTTGTTTATGAACATGCAGCTACTGTCACCAGCAGCTTCAGTCACTGGGCTGGAGATGTGAAACCACCTGGGAAAGCAAATGGACATTGTTAGCTGCGGATAACAATGTAGATATACCTATGCAGACATAGCAAGTGTTGGTACCCACAAATTAAAACAGCTGAGCACATGTCCCTGCTAAGAGGAGTGCTCAGTTACTGGCAAGGAGAAACACATTCAGGTCAAACTCCTCTGGCAGAAACAGGAGCAAAGATATCTTAATCACTAATCCAGGTAAAAAGTAACCATCAAGGGAAAAAAAAACCCAGCAACTGAAGGCTTCAGGGCTAAGGAACCATCTCTGACAGGGAGGAATTACTGTCTATGGGAGCCATCCTCAGAAGTCATCTCTCATGACATGAGCACTTAGCAGCATCTGAAGTCCTTGGGCAAGAGATAAACTGAAAAAAAAATCTGCCAGGTTGGGGCCAGTGCTGCTCAGGCAGGTGAGGGCCAGGTCCTGCTTCCTGCACCTGACTGCCATGTCTCCCCAGGGCTGGGGGGCTCTGCTTGCCCACACACAGAACAAAGCCTGCTGGAACATGGTGAGGCAGCAGCCGTGAGCCCTGGTCCCTGCTCATCCTACTCAGCTCCTGCAGTAATGGCAGTAGAGACACCAGCCAAAACTGACACATCTACATGCCAAGGATTTCAGGCAACAACAAAGAGGAATTTCTTCCAAGTGTGGTTCAGGCTGTTCAGAGAATTGTGCCTGTGGAAATATTTGTTTAGGAGCCACTTTGCACACAACAGCCAGGCTACAGAAATCTCAGTGCACCTGAACCTGCTCAGAGCTCTTTTGAAGGTCATTTAGTCCAACTCCCTGCCACGGGCAGGGACATCTTTCACTAGACCAGCTGCTCACAGCTCTATCCAACCTGACCTTGAATGTTTCCAGGGATGGGGCATTCACCACCTCTCTGGGCACCTCCTCTGGGCTCTCTCTGCCTCATCATCCTTATTGCAACTTCTTCCTTTTATCTGTTATAAAGAGTTCCTCTTTTAGGTACTCCAGCCTGAGCTGACTCCAGCAGCATCAGTGCTTCCGAAACCCTTTTGGGGTTTCAGGATGAGCCTGGGGTTCAGCTCCCTCCTTCCCACACAGAGAGGTCTGAGGCAGAGCACCAGGCACTCCTCCAGCTGACGACAGAGGCTAAGTCACACACACCAAAAATGCAAAATCACATAAGAGCTAATCTCCCACAGGACTAATCTTCTCTATAGCAAGTTTTGCAAGCTAAGGAATGTGATCTTCTATAATGAAACCTTTTGTGAAGCTACTCACATCAAAACTAGCATTTCAAGGTCTTACAGAAGTTTCAGAAAAGCATACCACAGGGCTCACAAAGAGGAGATTCTTCCTCCACAAGCATAAGAGCAGACATGAACTCTTGTGGGCAGACAAGAGAGCCCAGCCTCAAGCACAAAAGCTAACAGGCAATGGCAATTCAGCTCCAGGCTCCTCATCAAGGGGGTGGGTGAGTGCAACCAGGTCCCAGCTTGCTTCCTTCCTTCTCCAGCCCCCAAAAGCTGGCTCCTGTCTGAGCATGAACATGCACTAAGCTTGGTCTAAACAAGGTACCAATCTCTCCAGAAATCCTTCAAGAAAACAGAGCAGCAGGGAGGAGAGGCAGCTGCCCACCAGAAAAAGCTCCCAGAGGAGACCTGCACGTGCAAGGGTAGTTTTAGAAGAGGATTTTTCTCAGGTGGGTAAGAGCTGAGCAGGACCATGGTACACTCAGCACTAGAAGCACACACAGGTTTCCAGAGAAGTCACCACACCTCTGGTTCCAGGAGCCCACCTGGGACAGCAGCCACGTGAAGAACCAGAAGCAGTGCACGGAGTGACCTGCCAGCTGCAGAGGAGAGATCTTCTGGGATTCAGACACCAGGAGGGCTGCACAGGCCCACAGAGAACCTTCCACTCCTGTTCCCAGGCGCTAGCCATGTCTGGAGCCTCCATCACACCAAAGCATAAGGGATGTATTTTGGAGTAGCTAAATCCTCACAGGTCCTACTTGCCAGAAGGCAGGGAACTGCTCATACTCTGCTTCCCCGCCCACGCTTCAGGAAGTTTGCAGAACCTTGACTGCCTTCAGCCTGTCATTGCTACACCGGCAGAGAGATGGGAGGCAGGGGAACCTCCCACAGCAGCAAGCACTCTCACAGCCACCACCCAGGCTGGCACTTACCCCAGCAGACTCCCCAGCGCGCGGAGCGCAGCTCACACAGGTCGGCCGGGGGGAGGATTCTTCGGACAGGGTACTCCATGCACCTCCTGCTGCTGGCACACCACAGGCACTAGGACACAGGAAGCACAGAGTCACTGCTGCACTGACAGTGACCCTCGCTTTGCTTGGCAGCCACAGCACAGGGCCACCTCTGCTGGCTCACGAGATATCACCCAGCAGCAACAGGGTGCTCAGGAGTAAGAGCTGTGTCAGCACAGACCACACCAGGAGAGGCAGGAGAGGGGAGTGCAGAGTTCTAGAGCAAGTAAAGATGCTGAGAATCCTTCTCCTGGCTTAGAATCGTACAATATCCTGAGCTGGAAGGGACTCATAAGGATCATTGAGCCAGCTACTGGCCCTGCCCTCGACAGCCTTAAGAATCCCACCATTAATAACACAGATCCTTTAAGTTTATTTTTGGAATAAGAAGAAAGCCTTTGAGACAAAGTGCTCTACACACACAAAGCTGATGAGCAGGAGAGGTGTGCATGTGCCCAGCCATTACAGACCATCTGCAGAGCTTTGCATGCTCCTCTCCTGGTGGCTCCAAACCCCAACCCCAGCATTCAGTAGGGTTTGGTCAAACTGGTTCTGGCTACATCAGCTGCAAGATCTGACTCAAGTTCAAGTTTGCTGATATCTGTGATAAGGCAGCGGGGACTGGCAGGACACCAGTACACATCCTGCATCCACCCAGTGCCACGGCCCAGCTGCTGGAGGGGAACTTGACCAGCCAGCCCAGCCCACTCAGTCCCTTCTCCAAGCACATTGTCCATCCATCAGGAAGCAGCTCAGCAATTCCATCACTCTAATCAAAAAGCACACAACAAAACCCACCCAGTTTCTAGCAACCTCCTTCCAGAGCACCAGAGAGGGATTGCCCTCTCACCCTCATAGGTGGGTGGAATTTGCAGCATGTCTGGGACAAGGGCAGGGGACCTTTCCAGGAAGGAAACTTTTTCAGGTATGGTGAGAGGCTGGGAGTCTCACTGCTGCTACTCACAGTGACATTTTTCAGGCATTCTTCACAGCTCCTGTTCGTATACTGATGACAATCTGCAGGAAGGAAAAAAGACACCTCAGGACTTTGAAGAGCTTTAGTGGTTTAAAACTCTGGGCTCCTCCAAGCCTGCTCCTACCCACCACTGGGCCAGCAGCAGTGCATGCTGCTGCTGCAAGAGTCACCAGCTTCAGCGTGTGCTCCATGTCACAGTGGGAGGCCCAAATGCAAGGCAAGTTCTGCCTTGCTCTGCTGACAAAGCCCTAAGCTGTGAGTTCCTCTCTTATTTCCCTAAAAGCCTGAGAATCTGCTATGGCAGTAGGGCAGCCAGGGGACACAACTAGAGTCAGTCTGGAGGAACCCTATGAGGATCAGGGCAAGCAGTGGGTAGGTGATACAGTCCTGTAGTACCAGATAGGGAGCAGATCTAGCAAACAAGCCCCAGACACAGAAGTTCCTGCCAGGAGAAGCAGAGGAGCACACAGGGACACACAGAGCCACAGATCGTGCAGGAGGCCTCCTGCTGCACACAAGGGCTGTACCCTACCCCAGCCAGTTCATCCAAATCTTCCTTAAGCAGGACACAGTCCAGGCAATGGAGCAGCACTGCAGCCAAAATCTGTGCTGACGTTCAGAACCCGTTTCCACCCCCATCTGGCAGAGGAAGACCCCAGTTCTACAGACACAGGTGACTCTCAGGACCAGAGCCATCATGGATGAAGGCATCCCCACAGGATGCATCCAGCTGGGCAGGAGAATGGATAAGGTCTGAACCTGAACACAGAACAAGCTGGTCCAGTCCAGCCCTCACTCTGAGCTGAGCTACAGCTCCCAGCAGTGCTCCTGGAAAATGTCTTTCTACAGGATATTCACCTGCAATTCATTGGTGTGCTTCCCTAGATCTGCAGGAAGGGTGGTTTGCCAAGCCCTCAAGAATGAGCCATTTAAAACTTAAATGACTTAAGAGTCTAAGCAGCAGCCTGTTTGACAGTGGTTTAAAAGGAAAACTCAAATCAATTTTCCTGACCACTCACTGCTGGATGAAGGATCATTGCTTTGCAGTGTCGTAATCAGGAAAAAATCAATCCCAGAGGTGCTTGTTTTCCACTCTCACAATCAGCAAAGCTGGATTTTCTCCCTCCAGCTGGCAGGAACCCTCAGCTATGACCCACTGTCAGCAGTCACATGCTCTGTATAGCCTTCCAAACAACTGGGCAATTGATTAACATAGCTCAGATAAGGGTGTTTACACACCAGAGAGGCTGAGATTGCAGATTTTAAACACTCTGAAGCTGTATCTTCCCCATTTCTTCAGCTGAGGCTGGAAAAGCTCAGCATTGCCTCTGCTGCTCTAGGACTGTTCTTTACCAGGAGTCACAAAACACCCTCCCACACCACAGCAGGCCAGTGGTTGGCAAAAGTAGAACATGTGGTTTTAACTGCCTTTGCTTTCCCCCAGGATACCCCCTCTCCTGGCATCCCTAGCTGGGGATCATCCTCCAAGTCATTAAGTCAAAGCCACCCACCTAGAGCTGTTTGGGAATGGGCTGCTTCGAGGACACCACAGCCCTTCAGGATTTGGTTTGTCCAAATGTCCCATCTCAGGTGACCAGACAGCTCACAAGGCATGGCACAGGAAGCACTGCACTCCTCAGGGACAGAGACAGGACAGCAGCTCTTGCTGTGCTAGAAGCCACCTGGGTAATGCTTTTGACAGCTGGCTACAGGAGGAGTGAAGTCAATGGAGAACAGCTCCTGGCTTGGGAAAGGGGGCAGACTTCTTAGGACACTCTGAAGGCAGTTGTCCCCACCCTTTGCTACAGCTTCTTCTCCACCTGGTGCAGACCTCTGGGGGCTCTGCTCCATCCCCCAGACACTAAGGAGGAGCAGCTGGACACCCATCCATATCCAACAACACCCGTCTTCTTCCTGGTCTGGGGCTGCCCAAGCCATTCTCCCCACCCTCCACAGGGCCATCAGCAGGAGCCTGGCTGCCCAGTGACTGCCCCCTGGTCAGGGAAGGTAAGCAGCTCTCTCACCTGAGCTGTTATCATCACTAAATCATGGAATCACAGAATGGTTTGGGCAGGAAGGGCTTTAAGCTCATTGTGTCCCACTCTCCCTGCCATGGGCAGGGGCACCTTCCACTAGCCCAGGGTGCTCCAAGCCCCGTCCAACCCAGCCTTGGACACTTCCAGAGATGGGGCAGCCACAGCTCCCCTGGGCATGGAAGTTCCATTGCAATGGAAGCCAGAAAAGAGGTGAGCAAAGCTCCACTTCCAGCACCCACTCAACTTTCCCGACCTCGAAGGGACACAGCAGGCAGCACGGGATCCCACCTGCGGAACAGCCAGCGAGGGACACGGCCGTCCCTGCCAGCCCTCATTGCCCACTCGGAGCGCCCACAGCTGCCTGAGCAGTGGCCACCCGCACCCGTGGGTGCCGGCCTGCTTCCCGTACCGGACACCCCACAGAAACGGGGTCCAAAGTAACTGCCCGGCCGGGATTTTGGGGCGCTGTGCGAGGAGCGCCGCTCACCCACGGCGGGGCCGCGGACACCGCTTACCTCCGGCCACCTCCTGCGCGGCGACGGCGGCGGGCAGCAGGGCCAGGGCCAGGGCGCAGAGCCGGAGCGCCGGGGCCATGGCGGAGCGGGGCCGGGACGCGCCGGGGGCGGCACCGCCGCTATGTAGGGCCGGCCGGGGGCGGGCCGGGGGCGGCCCCGCGGGGCTGCAAGGCCTGGGGGGCGGCGGGCGGAGCGGCTGTCGCGGGCTGAGAGACCCCTGGGCCCGCCGGGACCCTGGAGGCAGCTCAGAGAGCAAGAAGAAAATATTTTAGGTTGCCCTAATCAAAATGAAGAGGATACCTAATATTTTTCAGCAAACCCCAAAGAAAGCTATCCTCTATCTTGAACAAACAGCGACACTGGCCATCCCTGCCGTAAGCACTGCACGGTGTTTGTGGGGAAGCTGGCTGGGTTTTGGAGGGCAGGTGGCAGGTGAGGGGTGGTATGAAGGTACCCATAGCTGGGGGTGGGAGGCAGCCCTGCAGAGCAAAGTGTGGGTGCCAGGGAAGAGCTCTGGCTTGGAGAGTCACTGACACCTTGGCCTGGAGGCAGCTCAGGGAGCAAGAAGAAAATATTTTAGGTTGCCCTAATCAAAATGAAGAGGATAACTAATATTTTTCAGCAAAACCCCAAAGAAAGCTATCCCCTATCTTGAACAAACAGCAACACTGGCCACCCCTGCCACCGCCAGCTGCATCGTGGAGCTCACCATCCATCTGCTCAGATTGCTTTGCTCTCCCTGCCGTGTTCTTGGTGTCCTTGAGAGCCAGATGGACTGGCTGCCGCTGACAGAGCTCCTGCAGGCTGGGAGCGTAAGTGGCCAAAGGCGCTCGGTCGGCTGAAGCACGGGATGCGGGAGCTGAAGCACGGGATGCGGGGGCTGAGCCTGGGCTGCGTGTGACACAGAGGTGCGTTCCTCCCTCCGCCACAGGCGAGCGCTCTGCTGCCAGCAGCCGTCTCCTGCCCGTGGTTCACATTTTGGCAGCTCCTCAGAAGAAACACGGGGCTCTTCACGTGTGATGGGGACTTGGGCTGTCAGAGACATGGGACCTGTGCGTTTGCTGCTCCAAAAGCAGCTGGTGCTTGAAGCTGGGCAGGCACTAGTAATCACTAGTGTGTTTGCTGGCAGGGGAGTCTCCCTGAAGCCCCCTCTGGGGCTGAGCAGTGCCCTGACATCAGACTCACTGCTGGATGCGGTGGGAAGCGGGAGGAAACACCAAATGAACCATTTCTGTTTCCAAAACACTTCATTCCTTTGTCCTGGGTCTATCCCTGAAGTGACACCTGGACTACAAATCATGCCAGTGGCATGGGCGGGGAGCCAGGCAGCGGGGGCAGGCAAGGAGCTGACAGGAAAGTCAGGGGAGACCAGAATGCCACTCTGATCCCTGTGGCTTTTCCTCTCCCTCTCCTTATTTGTCTCTGAAGGGGATTTTCAAACCCTTCAAGATGGCCTCAAGTGGTTTCCAAGGCGACGGTGCTAGAGTCATCACTGCCATGGAAACCCTCTCTTTGGCATCATATAAATATTTCCCTTGAAGGAGGCTGGATGAGTGGGCGATGCACTATTTTCTAGCACTCCCTGGCTCCAACAGGACAACCTCCAGGAGATGGGAGGGAGCTTGGGAGGTTAAAATTAGCTTGCCATGCTGGCCAGCAATGGAAAGAGGTGATTGCTGATGTTTCAGCCCAAAACCTGTGGTTATTTGTATCAGCAGGATCCAAATGAAAAAGAATTACTCTGTAGGGAGACCCAAAAAAAAAAAAAAAAAAAAAAAGGCAGGGAGGAAGTAAGGTTGAAAACTTGTGTTTTTTTGCCGTTCTTCAGAAAAACTTTTAAAATTTTCCCTTTAATGCCAATTCCTCATCCTCTTGGGTCAGTGCAGGCAGATGGGGTCTCGGAGTACTTCACCCTCTCCTGGGAGCATACTCAAGGCTGAGGTGTTTTGCTTTGCTTTTAATTTCCTCCTTTCTGTCTCATCAGCTCACCAACACCTTCACAGGAGCACAGGGAGAGGTGTCTGCAGCAGCCCTGAGCATAGGCAGTGGAACAGGTAACCCCAAAACACCCTCTGGTGCTGTGGTGTGCCCTACATGGCCAGTGGTTCTGCCATGGGTGCAGCCCAGCAGCTCCTCCAGCCCTGCCCACCCAGGGTGCTCTGGCTGTGCCCAGCCCTAGGGCACAGCTCTGGAGAGGCTGCCAGCATTCCCGGTGCCCTGCACGGCAGGGACACCAGCCCAGCACGTGGCAGTCCTTCTGTCACCCACCATGCCAGCTCTCAGCAGCCACCAGCCAGGATGGATTTGTGAGCTGCCCCGGGAGCTCCCAGAGTGGAGGAGCCGGTGTTTTCATAAACAGAGACGTCTGCCTTCATCACCGGGGCCAAGCTCTGAGCAGGGCGGGTGCCAGCAGGGACGAGGCTCCGCAGAGGGCGTCTGTGCCCGGGCTGGTGTAAACACCTCCTGTCCCCGAGCAGATGGCTCCTCTCACATCCACGCTCCAGGCAGATACCAAAGGGCTTTCCTGACAAATAAAGCGCCGCCGCACGCAGGCCTGGAGTGCTCCTGGCTTTCCTGGAAGAAGGGGATGCTCCCTCCTTGTTGCACTGCCCAGGCTATTTTTAGACCTGCATAGCAACCAGAGGATGGGGAGACACAGTGTCCCCCTGCCACCCTCTCACCTGCTGGCTGCTGGCCTTTGGCAGGGGCTGGGGATGAGTGCAGGATCCTGGCTGGGCTGGAGGATAGGTGTTCTGACTCATGACCACCCAGCACCACCCCAAAAAGTCTCCCAGGAGGCAGAGAGCTGCTCCAAGACCCACTTGCTCTCCCTGCTCCAGAAGGTGCTGCCAAGGAAATGTGGAGACCAGCAAGGTCAGGCCCCAGCACCTGCTTTCCTCTTTCTCCCTTTAGAAAAGAGAAAAAAAACCACCCTAAATCCAGAGCAAACAATTAAAATGTTCCAGCTGCTGGCTCAGAGCAGCGATCCCAGATAAAACCCCAAGGATCTGCCAGCTAAAAATAGCCTGAGCCCCATAAATTAAACAAAAGCTCTTGGAAAGCCAGTTCCAGTGCAGTTTTCTCTATGTAAGGTATAACTCTAACGGTATTTGTTATTATTAGCCCTACCTCCCCCGTGTCACCGACCTTCCCAGCACCATTGTTTAGTAACAGGAATTTTACAGAGCCAGCCTTCTTCCTCCTGGCAGCTCCTCTGCTGGAGTGGGATCCCACCTCAGCCACTTTCCTGCCTTTTTATATTAGTTTAAACCTTTTTTTTTTCCCTTTTGGGCAACTGATTATTTGATACTAAGACATCCTATATTTTTTAAGGGCAGATGTCTCAGACATCTGCTTCATTTTTATCCCTATCAGCTGTCCTGGGAGCTGTGGACACTTAAATAAATTCCTGCTTGGAATGCAAAGGTGTTGGGCAACCCTTGGCAGATACTGTGCAAGCCAACATGCATGCAAGGGCTTGTCTCAGCTGCTTTCTGTCATCAAGCCTATTAACAATATTTTCTCATGTTATATTTTATATATATGTGATGGTAGACAGCCAATGACTTACAGCTTTCTGGGAGTTTTCTCCTCCAACCCTTTAAAGAGCTTCCAGCATCCCACTGCCTCAAGCACACGTGGCCAGCTCATGTGGATGAGCTCTCTCCAGTCCTTCTCCAATGCTTTTTCCCAGCACTCCATGCTGGGTGTGAGGAGCACATCCAACACCTGCTTTCCCATCCCAGATATTTAGGCTTTGTTGCTTTTTCTACGGACTTTTGCAAAAGTATTTCACTTACTGCACCCGGAGCAGCTGCATCCCAAAGCCACTGAGATCCCTTGCTCCATCCTGGTGCTGGACTTCAATTTTTTTGCTTCACTTGCCAGTAGTTCTATGGCTGAGTAATCCAGCCCACATCTCCAAGAGGTGTGAGCAGGGCTGGCAGCTCAGAAAATCCACACCGCCTTTTCCAAGTGAAAGCACCATCTCCTTGCTGAGTGTTTCTTAGCCTTCCATCCCTGCTGACTCCCAGCAGCAGGACTGGCTCTTCTGAAACCAGCCAGCAAAGCTTCTCCTTGCTGAGCTGTGTGTCAGTGAGTTTCCACAGGTGCCACCCACTTGTCATGTCCCATGTCATCACAGGCCCCACATTTTTTGGCTCCCTGCAATGTTTTTTAGGCTGTCAGACCTTTCTGGGCAGGGTGTGATGAAGAGGACACCTCTCCTGGTTCCTGCCCAAGGACTGGAGACAGCCTGAGTGCTCTGCACCCACATCTGCTCCACCCTCAGGACCATTCAAGGATGTGCAGGAGGAAGGGTGATATTCCCATCCCACCGTGTCCTTGGGTTTGTAACTGTGTTTGTAAACATGCCTCTACCTGCCCCCTCAGCAGGGCACAAAAAAACCCTCAAGATGCTATTTTAAGTGAACTCAAACAAAAAGAAAAAAAAAAAAAAAAAAAAGAAAGAAAGAAAAAAAAAAGTCGACTCTGAGGCTGTCATGTCTATATTTAGTTGGAACTTTTCTGTCCAGGATTCAGACTCTATTTGGAAACCCTGTGCCTTGGCATGCAGCCAAGCATCTCAGTTTTATACAGTAATCCCTCAGCATATGGCAAACGTTTCTCTTCTCCGGGTGACTGCGGCAGCAGCAGCCTGGCATGGAGGGGTTTCAGCTGAACCCAAGATAAGCTGTCTGGCTGATGATCCATGTTGTAGAACCAGAAAGTCTTTTAATAGCAACATCTTTTTGGGAAAAAATCACTCAGGGTGCCCTCCACCCCATGCCCCAGGGCCAGGAGGGCATTTTTGGGGTGCAGGCCTTGGGGCATTTCTACTGGCTGCTGGTCTGGGGTGATGGGCCTGAAGATGTGGGACATGCCAGGTCACATCCTCAGGTCTCCCTGGCTGGTTCAGCTGTCAAGGTGGGAAACAGCTTCTGGCTTATTTTGCCTCTCTCTCCACTGAAAATGTAATAAAAATTCCTATCCATTATTCTGAGATTTCACGTGCCAAGACTTCTGGGATTGACACAAATGTTGCCCAGTGCATGGTGTGTGTTTTGTCCCAGACGGTATTTCAGTGTCAACAATTTTGTCCTGAC